GTGTAGATTAAAAATTTAAAAAAAAAAAAAAAAAAAAAAAAAAGAAAGAAAAGGGGGATTACTCCTTAACAGGATAAAACTATTGGTAAATCAAAGATCAACGCATGCTTTAAATATCCTTAATGTTGATCACTTAAAGGGTGTCAGATGATCAGCTATGGAGGTACTCTTTTCTGATAATATTCCTTTCTCTTAATTAAAAAAAAAAAAAAAAAAAGTTACTGTGTGCTGACCTCCAATGAGTTCTGCACAGTGGTATAGAGGGCATGTCAAAGTGTGGGCAAAGGGTCTGTTTGTTTCTACGCAGAAGATCAAGGCCTAGCTTGGATACCCAGAAAATGAACTAAGATACGATATGAGGAGGAGCTTCCGGCATCAGCACTCTCTGGAGGACTCGTGCCGGGGGATGATCATCAAAAAGCCTCCACAGGGATCCGGACGATGCTGCGGTTGTGGCTGCATCCAGCCCACCATCTCCTGGACTTGCCATAAGAAGGAGGAGGGAGATGTCTAGGCTGGCATGTGCATACAGTGAGACAACGAATTTGACTGGATCTGTACTGTTGGAACTCAACCAGGAGTTGGGAGGGGTGCAAGTTGTAGCACCCCAAAATCTCATGACTATAGACTATCTATGGTTAAAAGAACATATGGGATGTGAACAGATCCCAGAAATGGGCTGCTTTAATTTGTCTGATGGTTCAAGTACAGTTGGAAAATATCCATCATATCATAGATAAATTTTCACAAATGCCTAGGGTGCCTAAATGGTTTTCTTGGCTTCACTGGAGATGGCTGGTAATTATAGATTTGCTTTGTTTATGTCACCGTATTCCTATTATGTTAATATGTGTGTGCAAATTAGTTAGTAGTTTAAAACCTATACATACTTAAGGTACTATACAAGAAGATATGTCAAAGAAATAATCAATCCTCCCAAGTTTCCTTCATATGCTACATCTATAGCTTTTCTTCTTCCTTCCTAATTACAACCCTTAAATAGAATTCGTGCCTCATATCGAATTTACCGAGTATCATAATTCCTCCAGGTGGTAAAGATACCTCGAGACAAGTGCTGGGCATAGAAGCCACAGGGCATAAATCTGCAAAGAAGTAAAAAGCTAACCTTTTCAAACAATATTGCTTCTCTCTCACTTACCAACTTTACATTTCCCTGTATGGCCTGGAAGATGACTGGTTAGCCAGAGACGGGTAAGATTCCTCAAGGGAGGAACAACCTAAGACAGGCACAGTCACAGGGGGGCCATCAGGTGAGCAATTGGAGATCAACAGATGTGAGGCTTAGAACCTCACCCCCCGTGTTTTGAGAGAAATCTTCTGCATCCGTGGATGTTTTGTTGCCCTTGTCTAGCTTGGATTAATACTTAGTCTATAGGCACACACCTGATCATCTGCATTTGCCCTCTTACAGCACTACATTATGCTTTCTACCTTTATCTTGTATCTACCTACCACTTCAGCATTTTATTTAAGAAAATAATAATAATAAGGGAGAAATGTGGGATTCACATATAAATCAAGTATAAAAATCAAATGAATAATCATATCTGACTTGATTGTTTATAGTTCATGATGCGTGATCAAAACTGAAAGTTTCTGTGATATGACTGCCCTTGCACTATTCACCATGTAAGAACTTATTCACATGTAAGAACTTGTTCGTTATGCTTTAGAAGATTGGAGACTGTTGAGAATTGGGCTTGTGGTTGATTAATGATTGTGCATTGAGTCCCCTATACAGAATTTTATTGTTGTTATCAACCATTTGATCAATAAATATGAGAGATGGCTTCTAAAAAAAAAACAAAAAAAACCAAAAAAACTTAAGACTTAAGAACATTTCCATCTAAAGAAGTTCCTTTACCATACATTGTAAGACTGGTTTAGTGGTGGTGAACTCTTTTAACCCTCATTTATCTGGGAAACTTGTAATTTCTCCCTCCATTCTGAATGATAACCTTGCTGGGTAGAGAATTCTTTGTTGTAGATTCTTCCCTTTCAATACTTTGAATATTTCATGACATTCCCTTCTGGCCTGTAATGTTTCTGCTGAGAAATCTGCTGACAGCCTTACAGAGTTTCTCTTAGAAGCAACTGTCCACTTCTCTCTCTTTTGCGGCTAAGCCACAATTGCTATTGGTTGGCTGTGGACAGGACCTGCCTTCCTGCCAGTTTTTCCAGCAATGGCTGAGCCCCACGGCTAGCCTCTATGTGCCCTTTGTATGGTGTGAGGTGCTTCTAGGGGGATTTGTTGTGGGTGGGCTGAGCAGTGCCAGGCAGGGGCACTGGGGCTGAGCCAGTGGGGCAGGTGGAGAGTTTAGAGCTGGCTCCCACATGCATCTGGCCAGCTGAGATGAGGGAAGGCCAGGAAAGCAGGGAAAGTATCATCTGCCCTCCATCTGCCAGTCAGCAAACTTGGACTGCTGCTAGGCAGAGTGGGCTGGGTATGCAGGAAGTGCTGCTGGGGGTTGAGCTGCCAGCAAGGGTAATGGAGAATTTCAGATCTAGCTCCCACAAGTGCCCAACCAGTTAAGCTGAGGAAGGGCTGGGAAAGTATCACCCACCTGCCCTTTCTCCTCCAGAGAGAGCCCCCTCCCACCCCCACCCTTCTGGCACACTCCCTGATGTTAGTAAACCTTTTAAACTTCTGCCTCTGTACTGGGTCTGAGTGGGACCAGTAGAGCACTCCTGTCCTCCACAAGCGACAGGAGTGTTGGCCCCCCAGCCCTACTGCCACAGAGCTCTAACTCTCTCTGGTGTCTGTCCCCATTATCATCAAAGCCCAGTGCAATGTGGACTCATATTCCTGGAGCAGTTCTCCAGGGCCAAGTGGGCCAGGTTCCTGAGTGCTTTTCCCCTCCCTACCCTGTTCCTCTCCCTCCCGCTTGTGGGCTGGTATAGGGGAAAGGCCTGGGTCCCAGTTGTTCACGGCTCTGCCCCTCTATCCTTTTCAACACAGTCTTCTCTTCTTCACCAGGTGTAGACAGTCTGTTCTATAGTCTGCACATCATTTTCAGGGTTAGTTGTATTTGCTGTAGTTGCTTCCTTGGCGTGTAAGTGGGAGGATGTTTCACCTTGCCGTCCTTCTCTGCCATCTTTTTATCACCTCCTTCCCACACACAAATGCCCTTCTTGAAAAGAAAAATTTAAACCATATCCATTGCCCATCCTTCATTAATTCATTCATTCAACTAACCAAGCATTTACTAAACAATTATGACTTTCCAAGCACTGTGCTACGTACTAAGAACACACAGTTGAAATAAACAGCTGAAAAAGTATGCTCTCTAAGAAATTGTTTCCCATGTAATAATATACTTAGTTCTCTCTTGAGGAATTTATCTTATTCAGCTCTGGCCTATAGTTATTCATGTTTATATCTTACCTTTCTACTGAAATGCAAGCTCCTTGGTGGCAAGCAATACCTTTCTCACCTCTGTATGCCTCACAGGTAGCTACCAGTAAATGTTTTCTAAACTGGACTGAATTTATTTCAAGCACAGTGAGTTTGGTATCTGTGTGATGAAATAAATTTGAAGTGGTGAAGTCTGACTATGAATGATTTTTTTTTATTTCTATTGTTGGATAGGACACAATTTTAACAAATGGGTGAACTCTCAGTCTACTTACGGGCTGTTCAGGGGCTGAGAGAAGGTCAAGGCCAATGGAGAAAGAGAAAGAGGCTCCAATTCAAGGGCATGGCCACGAGACTGGCAGCTGAGAGCAGAGCTTGGTAATCACACATTTAGGAGATGAAGAGAGTAGAGGCCACTACTGGAGTCTTAAACCAGGGGGCATGGTATTGGGTGGAAACTGTGAACCCAAAGCAGAGCCTTGCTTGGGACTGCCATATAATGTAATAAGAAATACACAGTTGGTCATTCATATGACCAAATATATATTTCCCAGGTATGTATGGTCTTCATCCACAGTTCCTGAAAACACTGCAGAGTCTTAAAGGTGAAATTGAAATGGATGTGTTGTCATGTTAATGAGAGACTTTTGGACCCCCGCAAGGGCAGGGGCTGGAGGTTAAATCAGCCAATGGCCAAGAATAATTTAGTCATTCATGACTATGCAATAAAGCCTTCACAAAACTCCCTGAAAAGAGATATCACTCTCTTGGATCCTGCTTCTCTGTGGGAGAGAGCTTCCCAGCCTGGGGAACCAGAACATGTCTGTGTGCCAGCCACTGAGCCATGCCCCAAGCTCCATGAGGACAGAAGCTCCTTTATTTGGGACCTTGCCCTGTGTGTCTCTTCATCTGGCTGTTAACTTGCATCCTTCCTTTATTAAACTTCATTAAACTGGTAAACATGAGTGTTTTCCCAAGTTCTGTGAACCGCCCTAGCAAATTAATCGAACCTAAGGGGAAGATTGTTAGAACCTCCGATCTGTAGCTAGTAGGTCAGAAGCTTGGGGCTTGCAATCAGCATCTGGAGTAGGAGGTGGAGGGCAGTCCCGTAGGACAGAGCCCTTAACCTGGGAATTTGGGGCTGTCCCTGGGCAGAGAGCGTCAGAATTGAGTTAAGTTCTCCAACACCCTGCTGGTGTTTGAGAATTGCTTGGTGTTATGTGTGGGAAGATCCCCTCCTACACACATACAGACATTGGAATCAGCTCCAGGAACCTAAAAAGAGCTATACTGCCATTATTGCTATGTATATTACTGTTATTGTTGTTGTATATGCAAGAACACATAACAGGGACCTTTGGCTGGAGTTTGTATGCTAGATGATCTCACTGTGAGGCTGGTCGGTAAGGGGCTGTCTCACTCTTTGCCTCTTTCTCAAAGAGCATTTTGCAAACAGTTCTAATGTCCCAATACAGGGCAGTTCCACCTGGCTCACAGGGCCCTGCCTAGGTGGGCTGGGACCTACAGACAGTATAATGACAAGGAAGGCTTCCTTGGAGACTCCTTAAGTGTGTTTAGTAGATTCCTTCTGGCATAGGATGGACCTTCAGAGGGGTCAGCTTACCTCCCATGACTGGCAGGCTGGGGTCATTTGGATTTGGAGCTGAAGGTGGATCATAGCCAATCACCAAGTCAATTGTAGCCTGGGTAGAAATAAGTCATTACAGACAGAATCAGTGCAAGGCATCACAACGCTATTGACTCAATGCAAACCAATTCAGCAGGAATGCAAGTTCTAGAAGGAATGAGGATGGAGACAGGAAAGTGAGAAGAGAAAAAGAAGGATAACACATGCTCCACTATTTGTAGCTTCCCACATCTGAGCCCAGATGAGAGAGAAAACGTGGGAAAGAAATTCCCTGTTGCAGGTTGCCAAGTGTATCATTGCAAAGGGGCAACTTCAGAAACAGGAGGACAGTTTTGACAAGTGAGCATGAAATTGTAATCAGCCTCCATCCTGGATTGGTGATGGCCTCCAGTCACAGGATTACAGTCATAAGAGGCTTAATCAGTTTTTAAATGATTAAGTTATTTCTCTGAGCATTGACTTCTAAATTGCTGGAATTTATTTTCACACTTCTCTCTAAAAAGAACTTTAAGTGACTAACAAAGTTATGTAACAATGTGATTCATAAAATAGGATATAAAAGGGAATTAAGTCTGAATAAAGAGGAAACAAATATGCAAATCATGAAGCTCAAAGTGATTGCCTCTTGCATAAAGCATGACCCCAAGATAGCTAGGTACCAAGACAAGGAGAACAGAAAATGTTATGTAACTTTCATTACCAGAAAGGAAGGAACATACTAGTTGCTTTGAGAATATAAAGTTATTCCCACTTTTAAAATATGACATAAATTTCTCACATAGGGCTTTTTTAGGGCAGAGTTTCCTATATTTTATATTTCATGAACCTACAAAATTTCAAAAATGTTTGTTGGGGGAGTCAACACAGGGATACTAACACATATCTATATCTACTATTTGGTCATTTCATAAAAGAAATGAATTTTAATAGCAAAAAATGAGGAAGGAAAAACCTCAGAATAAAGGAAATCCATTGCAAATAAGGATGACATGTATATACACCCACACACCCCACACCCAGGTTACCAGTTAAAATATAGACATAATGTTAGGACAGTTATACTAAAAAAATCATTCACTGTTAATCTGAAATTCAAATTTAAATGGGAATCCCATACTTTCACTTGCTACATTTGGTAAACTCTCTCTCTCTCTCTCTCTCTCTCTCTCACACACACACACACACACACACACACACACACACACACACAAGTCACCCTTATCACCCTTATTTTTTCCCATCTCTCTATTCATCAGTGAATACTTCTCACGAATCAGCACATTCTGTGGCCAACCTAGGAACTACTGATTTGGGAGACACTGAACATAAATTACATCCCCACAAGTGTCATGACAAATAAAGAATTGTTAAGAGCAGCAATTCAGGGCTACCTATGCTGAAGACTCAGGTAGGCAGAGTGCAAGGAGCATTCAAGGGCTCAACTGCCAAACTTAATCAAAGTTGAAAACCTAGAGGAGCCCACAAATGGTCTACCCTCTGGGTCAGTGGTTTCCAAATAACCTCAGGATTCCCAGAATCCTTCAGGGACCCTTAACAGGGGTGAGGGAGATCCCAGGGAGGGAAATCTTGAAGCCTTTAATCTTCCTTACCCCATTCACTCAACATGGTGCAGCCATTTCAGGGTTCTTCTGTGCTTTAAACATGTTTTAAAGCCAGATGGAAAAACTACACACTTGTACCATCTTTCCTAAGTGTCATTTCTCTCAGCCAGGTTTTGGGTAGACAGATGATAGCGTGCATTCTGAGTTTTGTTTTAGGATTAGAATGCTAATTCACAGCCAGTCTATAAGTTTTGGAGACTAGCCAGCAGAATTGATATTCCTAATGGGCACTGAGAAGCCTAACCTGCACTCTTGCCCACGGGGATGGACTATTTTAGCATAAAATGTTCTCCATTTGCCCAGGCTCCCAAGCCAAATAAATCGATTGGAAAATGAAGGGGTTAAAGGTTAATGGGGGCAAGCATTGTAGCTTTATGAGCGCTTGTCAGCAATCTTATAAAATCTTACAGCTGTGATTCCTGAGTCAATTTTTTTTAAAGCACACTTGAGAAAGAGACCTGGTCTCTCTAAACAGACAATATCAATAGATATGTACTTATTTAGAGAGATATGCACTTATCAGAAAACATTCAGCTGCCGGTGCAGTAATAAAGGTCATAATATTAGTCAGACAATATCAATAGATATGTACTTATTTAGAGAGATATGCACTTATCAGAAAACATTCAGCTGCCGGTGCAGTAATAAAGGTCATAATATTAGTATCTTGATATTCCAAGGTAATACTAATGAATTATCTTCTTTAGAATGTTTCATAAGTGTCTGATACACAAAGCTATGCTCACCACACAAATGTTAAAACCTAAGTAGATACACAGGGAGCTACGCCAAGAGAGAGTCCCACTCATTTAGTAACATCTGTAACAGAAAGTCAATTTTACTTAATTTGCTAGCTCAGTAATTGCAAATATAGGGTAAGGCCATATTATTTGCAAATGGACCTGTTTATCTTGAAGTCAGTAGGGGTGTGTGTGTGTGTGTGTGTGTGTGTGTGTGTGTGTGTGTGTGTGTGTTTCACTCAACTATCTCACTTCAAAGCCATTCAACAAGAGGGAGAATGCTTACCCCGGTCTCTTGCCCCTTTTCATTTAGCAGGGAGATCAACTTGTATGGCAGTGATCTGTTCTGGTCTCCGATCAGGTCCTTCAGTGCTACAGTGGCCAAGCCAATTAATCTGCAGGGGAAATAAGAAAGTGCACAGCAACCTGAATAAGAGGCAGGCTTCTGTTTACTCACTGAGCCTCCCAATTCCCCTCCTGTTCATGGGTTATCATTAAAATCACTTATAATGAAATGTAGACCATTTTGTTCTCAACCTAGCAGGTGTTCCAGCAGTAAACATCACACATCAGCCATTGCTTTTCTGCAATGAGTAGTCATTTCAAGAGTCAAACTATGGTGTGTATGAAATTTCAAGTCTTGAATGAGATGGATGCGTGAGAGGCCAAGACTGAGTACAGCCCCCCAGAATACAGGAAGGGAGACAAGTAGGAAAAATCCTAGCATTCTTCTATAACAGAAATTTTAAAGGGCCCAAAAAACATTGCCCACTGTAAAAACATCTCCCCAAATAGCCCTTCTCCAAGTGTGAATAGGTTGTTGGATGGGGCCAACTTTCTAAGTCATACACTGGAGCAGTATCCAAAAGTTGGATTTGTGCACTTCTCTCTCTTCCTGAACCCTGAGGGATTACATTCAGCCTCCGCCCCTTACTCACCTAACTCTAAGTGCACAAAACATATTGGTGCAGAAGTACTCATGTGCCCCTGCCCACTGGTGGGGGTTGTTGCCTGTTCTGTTCACTGTAACCCCAGTGCCTGGAACACAGTTCACTTCTTAATACGTATTTATTGAATGAAGCAAAGAATAAATAAGTCTACATACACTGAGAATGAATACTGAAAACATTTTTGGAGTAGGGCACATGATCAAAATAGAATTTATAGAACACACATCCCCAGGGAGTTAGGCAAAATAAAAATGCAACCCATGACATGTAGTTTGTAAATTGGAGGTTGTAACATGCAGCATGATATGAGAGAGGATAGGGTGAAGGAATTCCCTTTGTAAAATGCAATCAAAAAGCAAAGAGGGCCCAGTAGTGTGCTCTCAGGACAGATACTGAAAAAGGAAAAGAGAAATGATAAGAGTCTTAAAATATTATTAAGTATTGTTTATCTTGCCTACATTTTCAGTGACTTATACAAAGAAATAGAAGATATGCTATTATGGAATACTATTAACATAAAAACAGAAAACTAAGCAGTAAGTCCTCAAAGTGATAGAAGAGATTCCTTGTGTCAAAAAATCCAGTGTGAAGAAACCACAGCTGAGCACAGAGCATTAACTCTAGACTTCCGGGCAGAAATAATAATTAGGGAAGTTCATCTTGTGGAGAAATACTCATTTTATTTTAAAACGTAGTACAGTTTCATTACAAATCAGGAAGTGAAAGCTGATGTCAATATGGAAACATCATTTTTGAACTGACATGCAGCCACCTTCTTCTCCTCACTCTCAGACCTCAGAAACAGGACTAGACTGTGGATCTGTGGTCTGTCACCCAACCACACATGTCCGATGGCTCTGCAAATATGAGTAAGTGACTTTGTTTTCTCTGAGCAGATATATATATTGCACAGACCAGGAAACTGCTATAGCACTCTGCTTTATTCAATTTACCCAATGGTATGAACCACTGGCACGCGATTTCTTGGAGGTACACTTGCTTGGATAAAGCATCACGTAAGATGCTCAACAACCATGATGGGCTCTCGTCTCTTATCATATCACAAGTATGGCCACTAATTGACAACAGAAAAGGGAAACTCTGCCTCCAGGAGATAAGAGTGAACTTTCAGCCCTTTTAGGTCAGTACAGAAATAAGGTCACACAGTCAATGCTGAGAATTGATCGGATCTTCGTGGAGTGATTTTTCAGATGAGTATTGTCATTCAGTAGGTGTGTTAGATGTTTTTACATGAGAAAGCCCTTTCCTCACTTGGATTTTTATCCCCCCAACACACTGAGGACAAGGGTCCACACACATGACTTCATCACCACCAGGCGAAACCTCCCAGCTGAACCTCCCACACCAGGTGAGGGCCCTGACAAAATGCTATCTGTGTCTCCCTCAGTCCCACATGGTGTAAGCCTGATGAAAATTTCTTTCCACTTTTTAAAATTAGCACAGTCAGCCAGGTGGTTGCTTAACTGAGTTTCAGAAGAATAAACTGTGAAAACTACAGGTTTAAATCATCCGACTGGTATTAAATATTTAAATGAGGTGCTCACCTTGAAAGATGTGGAATCAGACCAGATTTTTTTTCTCACAGTTCTATGATTCATAATCTAACAGCATTGCACACTTGAACATGTACAGATTTGCTTTTACTAAAGCCAAGATAACCTGAATCTGTATCAGCAATAAATAATTCTTTGAACAAACCCAAGTACAGCATGCAGGGGCAAGTGGAAGTGAGAAGAGGGGTGGCCTGGCACTGGCCCAGCATTTATCAACCTTGGCACGACTGGCATTTTGACCTGGACAGTTCTTGTTTGGGGAGGCTGTCCCGTGCCTTGTCAGATTTCAGCAGCATCCCTGGCCTCTACCCACTAGCATCTCTACACCTTGCCAATTGTCCCCTGCTATGTAAAACTGACCCCAGTTAAGAACCACTGGGCTAGATGATTCCTGTTCTAGCCCCACCTCAATGTCCCAATTTCTTTCAAGGCTTTGGCTAAATCATCTAACTCTCTGAGCCTACTTCATTATCTGCACATAAGCGGACTGAAGGAAATATCTCAGGCCCTTTTCAGCTCTACAAGTCTGTTAGTAGGCTTGTATATATGATATTTTCTACATATATCTACTTAGGAAACTACCCTTTGTTAAATATTTCTTTTCTCTTAAAGTTCATGTTCATTGGTTTAGGAAAAATATATCCTAGAATATGTCCATGTTGGACAATCCAGAATATAGGCAGGGTTTCTGCCTTCAATGGTATTGGCCTATAAGGTCATGGGTCAAACTTAAGTTCATAACATGTTGGGAGAAAAGGTTAGGTTGATAACAGAAATGTGGAATACAATGAGTGATGTGTAATACAATAGGGAGTGGTGTGGCTTGTGGCTAACTGGAGAGACTAGGCTTGCCTAAAACACACAAAGCCCATCTGCCTGCCCTTTATGGTTTTACAACCTCCATTCTGTCTCAACCAATATTTGCTGCTGTCCCTTCCCCACGAGAGGATGTGAGAGGGTGATAACAGATAATGGACCAGGAATGAAGCAGAATAAAAGCAGCAATCACAAAATCTAATCTTAATTCCTTCTTTCAGAAACCTTTAGTCTCATTTCTTAAGATTCACGTTTTCATCATAAAATTCTGATGCTGTGGTGTTGGAGGATGGTGTGTAAAAGAAAAGCTGACTTTCTTTTTTCTGAAGTAAAGATAGTGTGTTTAGATGAAAGCCTGGAAAGACTGTTGAACCAGGTACGTTTAATGGCTTGGCTGCGTTGAAGGACAAACAGTTACAAGTTTTGAGAGCTTTCACTGTAGCTGAAGAAAACTTCCTTACGGGTAAGTCTGATCTCTGTAGGACTCCAGGAACACACCCAGCCTGGCCTGGCTGGTTTTCTGTGACGTTTCCTGGATACAAAATACTGTGAGAGACTGGGAAATGATTACTTGGCCTCCTACACAGGGAAAAGAAGGGTTCAGTCAGACCACAAGCTAGCTTCCTTTAAAGGAGGTGACCCTAAACTGAGAACCTGTTTTCTTTCTTATTACTAATGCTTCAGATATGCTAATGTATTCCCGTGTGACAGTCATGGGGACACTTTGCCTTGTGTTTTCAAAAACAAGAGTCTCCCCATGGACTCCACCCAACACTAAAACAGATGGACCATGTCTCATAAGTGGAAGAATTCCTTATAGTGAAAGAATCTCAAGGCCCTTTGGCTTCCCAGCTTTACTTGTGGAATTAATAAAGTGCAGATATATTCTGAACTGAAGAGCAAGCCAGTTCTGCTCCTGATTCCTTTCAGTCTGTGAAGATCCATAGAGTTTTGAGTTGGGTCTCATTCTAAGCAGTGAGAGCAGCTGCTTGAAAATTAGATGTTATGATTGGAAAAATGAAGGTGTTTAATTGTAAACTAGTCAGGTTAGTCAGGCAAGGGTTGGTTAAGAATTTCTTTAACTGCTTCTTAAAACGCAGACTAGTGTATTTAAAAAAGAGACATGGAAAACGTTCTCCTCATTAACGTGCAAGTAAGAGTTAACAGTCGCATGCCACTGTGGTGAGTAAGGGCTTTGCTGGCCAGAGTCCTTAATCAGGGGAGTTCACATATATCAAGCTGTTCCTCTGTGCAGCAGGGACTCAGCCCACATCATTACTGGAGGAGGATTTACTGGAAATTCCTTCATGAAGGAAAGGAAAAATATGTTGGAAGCTGTAAAGTCGTCACATATTGCACTGTTTTGCCCCTAGAGACTACAGCAGTTCCAAGTCCCCACCCTCTGGGGGGAATAACAGTTTCCAACTGGGCTAGGGACAAATACTTCAAGCATCTCCCAGGTCCCCTGTAGAAAGCCAGGAAGGGCCATGACCTGCCCACCCTTTGAAGTACTGGGCCCTCAGCCAGCTGAGCCTTGTCACCCTGTGTGGCCCATGGGGTTCTGCACCTGGACCCTGTCACCCTTCCCCACACTTGTCTTTCCCCTGGACCAGTGTCTGTCAAGCTCCTCTCCTGCCCCCTCCCCTGAACCAAAAGGTGGGCGTGTCCAGCACGCACTTTGATTTCAACCAGATGGGCTCAAGAGACAGGGGCAGCCATGGCAGCGAATCCCACCACAGGAAGGCTTTGTAAGCGAAACCCCCACAAAGGGCACCTCCCTGGATCTCCCATCCACTTCACCAGTGGGGAACCCTCTTGAATTTCCCAACTGGCCCACCCCTGCCCTCTGGATTAGCTCACAAACCATTTTTCAGAGTGGTTCCCCAGACCTCCCTGTAGCAGAATCAGGTGGTTCAGACTACCCTGAGTCAGACTTTCTCTTTAGTTAATTCTTACAACCAGGAAGTTTGAGAAACAACAGTCTAGAACAGTGATTCTCAGTGGGAACTGAGAAGGGCGGAGAGCTGGGTGGAGGGCTGGGGATAGGGAAGTCAG